GAGCTGAGCTCAGTGATCATGATGCAAAAAAAACAAAACAAAAAAAAACAGAAAATAAATTAAAAACCACATGCACTCTCACGTGCCCTACCATTCGGTGTTGTCATTGGCAAACTGCCACAAAATGCCAAATATGATTTACAGCCGTTGAACAGGAAGTGGCAATGTTACCGATGTGCAGCTCATCAAACAAAAGGAAACGCCTGGGGGACTTGAGCAGCAAGCTAGAGCACTATTGATTAGGCACAAAGTGCACACACTAATTAAGCTTTTGTGTCTGCAAATTGAAACATAGCAGTGAGACACTAACATGAATCACGAGAGTATCTGTTATGTGTGCATTATGTGTCTGCATGCATATAAATTATAACAGACAAGTTTTCATTTAGAGTAAAAATGACTGTTGTTTGTTAGATCTGTTTATTAATGATGCATGAGACAAGTTTCATTTCTTATGACACTGATGGGAGAAGGACAAAAGATAAGGGGTGTGAACGCAGACAGACACAGAGCCAACACGTGGCGCAGATGCTTCCCTTTAGGATTTTAACGACTGTTAAGATGGCAACACCGGTGAAAGAAAGCATCAGTTGGTCCTTTTGTCTTAGAAGCAGCTGTAAAGATGAACACCCACGCTAGACACAGAAAAACCCAGGCCACCCTTGTAAACCAGGCTTTACCTGGTTATACAAAGTACACACATAATAGTGTGGTATGCAGCTACCATGCTCGATCCTACCCTACTCTACCCTACCCTACTCTACCCTACCCTACTCTACCCTACCCTACCCTACTCTACCCTACCCTACCCTACTCTACCCTACCCTACTCTACCCTACCCTACTCTACCCTACCCTACCCTACCCTACTCTACCCTACCCTACCCTACTCTACCCTACCCTACTCTACCCTACCCTACCCTACTCTACCCTACCCTACCCTACCCTACCCTACTCTACCCTACCCTACCCTACCCTACTCTACCCTACCCTACTACCCTACTCTACCCTACCCTACCCTACCCTACTCTACCCTACCCTACCCTACCCTACTCTACCCTACCCTACCCTACCCTACTCTACCCTACTCTACCCTACCCTACCCTACCCTACCCTACCCTACTCTACCCTACCCTACTCTACCCTACTCTACCCTACCCTACCCTACTCTACCCTACCCTACCCTACCCTACCCTACTCTACCCTACCCTACTCTACCCTACCCTACCCTACCCTACCCGACCCTACCCGACCCTACCCTACCCTACCCTACTCTTGTTGCGAGTCCCCACATGCCAAAGACAGTGGCAAGTACGGGGTCAAAAGGTGAGCCACACTGGACTGGCTTCTGCGAGCAAAATCAGCCAGCCGACAGGAGCTGGGCTGCAGGTCAAAGAACTGTGGTCAGAAACAAGGGTCATACAAGGGTCACAGGGACAAGAGGACAGAACTGGGCAAAAGGTCAGGTTGGCTGGCCCCACCCCTGGATCCACCCCTGGCTTGGAAAGATGGGATTGGAGGAGAACAGAGTGAAGACAAGCCCATCAGATCCAGAAGCCCTCTCAGGAACATTGGAGAGAAACTGAAGAATGCTGCAAAAGATGATGTAATGACCTGTGTTAAGAAGAATGCTGCATGTAGTGAAAATGACACCAAATGTTTTGTGTTGAGCTACAAAGTGTGTATCTGGTAAATGACCCCATGACCTTAAGCTGGTCCAGGAAGGGTATATAAGAACAGCTCTGAACAGCAGATGGGGATTGAGAGAGAGAGCTGGGGCAGGCGACAAGAAGAGACAGAGCAGATTTGGAGGGGTCATCCCCCGTCCTGCTGGATGGGGGATGACAGGCAGTTTTTTGGAGAGAAGCAGAGCTTAGACAAACCTTTTTGAAGGAGCTGAACGGAAGATTCTCAGAAGACAGGAGCTGGTGTAAACTAACTCTTATTTAATCATTTTGAACTAATCCCTCCGTGGGGGATAGCAGTTGTTTTTTATTTACCCATTTTTGTATTTTTGATTTTGTAATAAACCTTTTTTGAAAAAGAAACATAATCCTGATTCTTTCAGGTTTTCTCTAAAGCTTCACGGTTGGGGGCCCTGGCCATAATTGCACAGAGGTAAGCATGTCGATCATAGGTCTCTGAATTATCAGGACTTACTTTACAGTTTGTAATAAAATAATATAAAGAAACCTTAAGATAAGGGGAGTTTAACTCCCCCCTCCTAGCGAGTAACGAGTTGTCTTAAGGGCGATAAAATCAGAATATTAGAGGTTATTTTTGGCTCTGATTGCAGGTTGAAAAAGTCTCTACCAGCTGGAGGGGTTTGATTAATTAAGTAAATTGATAAACTTATGTTAGCCTGATCAACTAGCATAAATCATTTTATAGTTACCAACCTCCCACATAAGCTGTTAGAGGCGCAATTAATCCAGATAACCCAAAAAATTGCTGAGAGGCGTGGCTTGCCTCCAGACTTCTCTCTAGTATCTTAACCAAAAGGTAACGAGTTTAAAAGAAGTGGACTACTCTGGGGATTACTATTCGTGCAAGTCATTTCACCTTTAAAATAAGACACGATTCTAATTAGGTGGTCCAAACCCGGGTCTGATACAATAAAACTCGCCGACATGCCCTAGAACCCTGATGGATGCACCGTCTCATAAGTTCTAACGGAACCGGTAAATGGGACGTGCACGCGACACTCTACTCTACTCTACTCTACTCTACTCTACTCTACTCTACCCTACCCTACCCTACCCTACCCTACCCTACTCTACTCTACTCTACGCTACGCTACTCTACTCTACTCTACTCTACCCTACCCTACCCTACCCTACTCTACTCTACTCTACTCTACGCTACTCTACTCTACTCTACTCTACCCTACCCTACCCTACCCTACCCTACCCTACCCTACTCTACTCTACTCTACCCTACCCTACCCTACCCTACCCTACCCTACCCTACCCTACCCTACCCTACTCTACTCTACTCTACTCTACTCTACTCTACGCTACTCTACTCTACTCTACCCTACCCTACCCTACCCTACCCTACCCTACCCTACCCTACCCTACCCTACCCTACCCTACCCTATCCTATCCTATCCAGGGGTGGACTGACCTACCCTACATTCTGGCACTGTCCCGATGGGCCGCTTGGGCCGACCCCCCCCCCCCCCCCCCCTCTCACATTTGATGTCAATCATAGCACTCTTTCTGTTTTGTGAACCAATCACAGTGCTTTATCCACTCTGTGGGCCAATCAGGGCCCTCTGTCTGTCTGGTGGGGGGATGATGCAACAGAGTGGAACAAGATGGCGACAGCTAATTTGAAACAGCTTTTATATCAATTTTGGACTATTTGGACTTGGGCTTTATTAGAATCAGGAGCAGATAGACGTTTAAGTTTTTTTTTTTAAAGGATGTGCTTTCACCTTCTTCAACAGCGAACTGCCTTGTTTACTGACATCCGTTGTGGTGAGTACGTCACATTGTTCATTGTCCACTAGCATGTGGAGATCGTTTGAAAGACAATGGTAGAACCCACGCCACGACCGAGAGTCGTCAATGGGGCGTTGCCAAATATATTTATTTAGTCTGGCTTGCCAGGGATTTACTCCAAGCTCGACTTTCTGAGTGAATTAAGCCTCACCTTTTTATGAGCTGTATGATGCTGTTAGGTTCTGAGGCTCCATGTTTAATATTAATCCATCCATCAATTATCTGAACCCAATGTTTAATATTATGCCCAGTTAATTTGTCAAGACATTTTTGGTTTTGTCACACTTGCACCATCAGTTATAATTAGTGCATGCACTGGCGTGTTTGTAAGTTCATGTCGTTTAAAACTTGTACACATAAATGGACCTTTTTCCTTCTCTCAGCATTGACCTAGATTTGTGTCTCCTATTAGAATCTCATTTGTTGAAGATGCCGCTTTTCTTTTTCTTGTAACTAGAAAGCGTTTTTCCATGAATTGATAGAATTCTTTACATATGAGTGTTCAATAAAGAAAACCACCTTTGCTCTCCAAATTTGTGTTATGATGCTTTGGTAAAAGAAAAGAAAGGCAGAAACCTTCTGAATCATGAACAACACATTTGGATAAAACATCAATAAAAAGACACAAAGATAGAGGGAAACAAAAGAACTTGAAACCGAAATGTAACTTGGAAACAAAGAGAAAGGGCAGACAGAAACAAAGCGGTGCAGAAGCAGAAGAAAGAGGCAGACTGGGGTATTGTACAAAGCTGCGCTTGTCTCTGTGATGTTCTGTGAGTTCTGACAGCTGCTCTGGTTCAGCACTCTCTTACCTGACACTTCAATACCGCTTACTGCTGCTCTATGAGCCTCTTCCTCCATGTGTGTGTGTTTGTACACACTTGTGGTTGGAGGTGGAAAAAGGAAGCGGGTGACAGACAATGTTTGTGGACAATTTCTTTGAGAATGTACACGTATTTTGAACTGTATGTGCATGGATACCTTACAAGTGCACGCGTGCAGATGAGCAATTTAACTCCCACCCAAAACCTGATAATGTTCCTTCATTCAAAGCAGAGTCAAGTTGAGATGACACAAACAGCAGGGGTAAGAGGTGGAAAGTGTGTGTGTGTGTGTGTGTGTGTGTGTGTGTGTGTGTGTGTGTGTGTGTGTGTGTGTGTGTGTGTGTGTGTGACAGCAACCCCTCTGTGGTGGGACCTAATTTAAAGTGCAGAGATGAACACAGCTCCAGAGTGAGAAGCTGCCCCTGACAAGAAAGACAAACGTTGCAAAACAATTTTTTTTTTTTGCTGAAGGACGCTCACCTTTAATATGAGAGTAGAAATCCATCATACCTCTTTAAAAGCAAAAAAATTGAAGAATCCAAAAGCAGATTTATTTTCCTCATACTGTATATTGTGTGTGTGTGTTTCAGTGTGTGTGTGTGTGTGTGTGTGTGTGTGTGTGTGTGTGTGTGTGTGTGTGTGTGTGTGTGTGTGTGCCTTCTTTGACTCACTGGGTTGAGCAGCACAGTGAGGAACAGCTCTCCCCCACGGATGCTTTTGTCCAGTTCCTTAGGTCCTCCAGGGTATTCCTTATAGTAGATGGTGTGAGTAAACAAGCCACATGTCTGACGAGGCAGCACCTGCATGCACGCACGCACGCACGCACACACACACACACACACACACACACACACACACACACACACACATGTAGACACACAACATACTTTTGGTTATGATCAAATTCTAAAACTAAAGCTAACAAAAATGCCTTAATGTGTCAAAACCTGCAATCAACACAACAACAACAACAACAAAAAGAATCTGCTGGATTTTTGTTTTGTCATTCTGTTAGTGGCTAATTCTGTCTTTGCAGGTATACATTGCAAAGGTATCTTAGCTTCCAGATTTCAATTTTTAGGAATTTTTATTTTGAAAGCCTAAAGGGAATTATTTTTTCTGGGTTTTTCTTTACTAACTTCCAGATTCCCATTTTTAACCTCTAAGTTTTCATATCACCCCTGCACTTCCTTAAAAATGACTGGACGCAGTACACAGATATTTTTCACAAAGTTCCCCTTTATGTTTCACGGAAAAATTAACACCATAGAAACAAGAATATTTACCCTGCTTCTCCTTTTTATTAGACAAGCTTCCTCAGTTGATGGTTTTAAGTCTTGTTTATATCCTCTAGCTTTTACTTCTAAGTAATTTAGCATTTTTACTGTTTTCATGCTTTGTACTATTATATTGTGTTGTTATATGTGCAGCGCTTTGGTCAATGAGAATTGTGTAAATGCACTATAGAAATAAAGTTGAGTTAACAGTTGTAAGAATTAAAAATGAAAGAGCATTTTATGTACAAAAATACAGAAAGTACAAAGATGGCTTCATATAAAACTGACATAACTGATGTAAAGCTTAAAGGTTCAGACAAGCTGAGCCTGTCTGAAGGTTAACTTTATATTACTAAAGCCAACATTTTAGCGGGTTTCTGTAAAAATTTGCCAGCATTATAATAAGGCTGTTTCAGTTTCTGGTTCTTGTTATCTAACCTGCTGCCACTTAAACAGAGGAGGTCATTGTTAAGTGTTGTTAGTACTACCCATGCTATGATGAATAGCCAATATGTCTGTGGAGGAAAAAAGGTTCACAAAGCCCCCTTTCACTCTGGACAGGTAACCCTCAAACCCCCACCAACATGTGGCATTTGAGTTCAGTGGGAAAGGGCACAATATGATTCATGCCTGTAAAACATGAATGAAAACACGTCACCCATGTCGACACACTAATTTGTGCAACTTTTGCAGGAAAATGCTGTAATTAACAATATCAGAGTCAGCAAGAGCTTGTTGGCTACATGCCTCGTGTCCAGAGGGGCCACAAGCTGACAGGCAGGGCAGGCAATTGCTTGTGGCCTACAGGTCACTAAAGACACCACAAAGGATGCCGAATTTTGAACCAAGTCAGAACTGCTACTGTAGTGAGACAATCAGTGCGTTTACATGCAGCCAGTAACCCTTTTAAAACCCGAATATTCACAATAACCCGGTTCCGCACGGCCATGTAAACACCGCCAAAAACCCGGATATGCTCATAACCGGGTTTTTAAAAACACGGTTACTACACCTGAGGTAACCCTTTTCTAACCCGAATGTTTGGTCGTGTAAACGCATATCGGGATATCCCCATCAAAGCGTGTGTTCTGCGCATGCTCTGTTCGCAAGGAATCTTGGTCTTTTGAGTAGCGAGATGTCTTGTATGCGCCAGAACACCGGAAGTAAACAACAAGTTGGGAGCAAAATGGCGAGTCGCAGCACAGCACCAGTCACGGCACAGCACCACACTTTTGGAGTGACGAAGAAACTAAAGCACAAACAATCGCGGTCGCTATCTGTTCCGAACTGGGAAACTTGTTGTTGTTTTCACGGATACCGGAACAAGAAGAACCGGAAATGACGCATATTGCGTCTGGACGTAGTCCATACGTCCTGACGCTACCCCAACGTCCGCATTTAAATCGGGTTATGCAAGTTAGGGGTAACTCTTTCTATTTATGCTTGTAAACGGGTTTTTCTGATCAACTCAGAAACCCGAATACCGACCTTAACCCGATCATAACCCGGATATAGGCTGCATGTAAACATAGTCAGTGACAAGCTACCATTTGACAGCTACCATCACCACCAACAGAGGCGATGTTTAGCATACTTAGCATCAGCGGAATGACCAGCCAGTGTTAGCCCACGAAATAGAGAACCAATAAAATAACAGAATCAGTATTTTAGCTGCAGCAGTAAAAGTTACTTTTATAAGATACAGTAAAATCTTTATTGTCTCCAGAAGAAATCTGGTTCAATAGTCACAACGGGATAAAAAAAATAACTATTACATGCACAGACAAATGCACACACACAGAATTCTTTTTAGAATCATTCAAATCAGGAGTCATGTCACAAGGGTAAGAGAAATAGTGGCAGATGGACTAGAAAATAAGTATCTGTAGGGGTTGAGTTTGTGAAATGATACCTACCATACCTCTCCTCCAAATTGGCATCTTGTTAAATGTATTTGATCATTAGCATGGTTGTGGAATTTGGGGGCACTATAAAACTATAAAATCATGGTACTTCTGCACACATTTCATAAGCTTTCACTTTGTGTGTGTGTGTGTGTGTGGGGGGGGGGGGGGGGTCTCTATGTGGCGTTTACACATCCTCTCTTTGGATGCGTGGACTTTTCTCCATGTGGTCCATGTTTCCTCCAGCAGATCAAAAGCTGAGACAGTGATGGTTGTTTATGTCCCAGTGATGGACTGGTGACCCGTCCAGGGTGTGTTTCCTGCTTCCTGCATCTTTGTACAGAATCAGGAGTAGAAAACGTACGGAACACTTTACGTTCAGAAATAGAACTATTTTAACCCAAATGACCAATGGCATGTCAAATGAGTCATCAGTTGTTTTCTCTGTCAGAAATGGAACATGCCCACTACTTGCTGCTATTGCCAAAAGAAGGCAGCATAAGCTATATTTGCTGCACAGAGAGCACAGAAAAGTGACAGAAGACTCCTGAGAGAGCCTCCGGTGCCTTTGGAGCCTTTCACTCATAAGGATGACTTCATTGCAGCTGTAAGAATTTAAAAAATGCTGCAGATGCACTAAAGAAAGAATTTATTTCTTCTGGTGATTAGTTAACTCTTGCTGCTGCACAGCATTCATCCCTCTTCTTGAAACCTGTGTGGAGCTTTGGTGGCTTGCTGTTTACCAAATTGGGAGCAGATTGAACAGATTGCTTTTAATCCCATCTCAAGGAGCTGCGTGCATCTCCCTTAGCAACAAAAACACCCAAACACAGCACCGTGCCCCGCGCGAGTTGCGTGCTGTGCATTTTGGATTAAGGAAAATAAGAGTCTAACACATCTCTCAACTCATTCAACAGCAATTACACCACTGTGTTGGATTCACCTCTCACGTTTGATTTCAGCTCTCCCAGCAAGCCAGAGCTGGATTTGTGAGTTTGCATAAATCCCTCTTTTAAGATGCCACATGCATGCATTTTTCTGATGATAAATAAGACGTTTTCATTGGCTTATTAACAAAAAAGATGGAAAGAAGGAATTAAACAAAAGAGGAAAAATATAAAATGGCGTCTTTATAGCTAACTCCTTGTGGAGCACTTCTCGGTGTGAAATAGAGTAAAGGGTGGAAGCTCTGATATTGGTTTATCTATAAAACATGGCAGAGTCATTCACACGCACACACACACACACACACACACACACACACACACACACACACACACACACACACACACACACACACACACACACACACACACACACACACACACACACACACAAGTGAGAGAGAAGGCCACCATAGCCACAGACACTCAGCACTATTTCACCAAACCAATTATCCACAGAGCTATAGCTCAAATTGATATAGTACATTTTAAAAAGGCATACACACACACACACACACACACACACACACACACACACACACACACACACACACACATGCGCGCACACACACACACTCAACACAACCCCATATCTCAGTCTGATTTGCACTGATACTGTAGGTCCGGTGGGTGGCTCTCAATCTGCTGACAGAGACACACAAACACCAATTTTGCTGCCTTAAGACAACTTCCTGTCCTCCTCTGAGAAAACAAAGATGGAGCGCACAATGGGGGAGAGAGATTAATAGATGGAAACAGAATTGGATGTGAAAAATGAGAAAGGTGAAGAAAACAGGTAGGAAGTGGCTAACATGTTGGCAGAGAAGAGCTGGGCACCGTTTCGACTTTTAAATTGTTTTTGTTTGTGTTTTTGTTTTCTTTTAATCCAGACAATAGAAATGTACACTTTTGGAAAGCCTGTTTTGCCCATAAAAATCACCTTTTTTAATTTTTGCACTTAAATAATATAAAAATAATTCAAAAGGTCCGGATAAATATTAAGCCTTGTCTGCAGATTAAAGTTTAAATAAAAGACAAACTCTAAAAATTCCCTTTGCAAACTCCTGAACCAAGGTGTTTTCACTGGGTTGCACGGTGTAGATTTATGTAACGAATGTGTGCACAGCTGCTCAGAGTTCACTCAGCAGCTGTTGTGTCGTGTTTCGTCATGTCACATGGTCAACTTCTCTGGCAGCAGCAGACACATCCTGTAATCTACAAGAGCCTGATGTAATTAAAACTCAAGAACAGTCTGAGTTGTGATTCTGGAATCTGCTCCTCTGTCACAAATAAGGTTTGATTATTTAATTAGCTGTAATAACCTTGTTATTGTATGTGTATTTTCTTGCATCTACAAGAATAAATAGATTTAGATGTTGCTAAAAACATGGAAAAATAGTCCTGCCTTGTTTTTATCTGAATTGGATAAACACTTATATGTTCAGTCAATTAAAACCCAGTTGGATGAAATCATAAAGCTTTCATATGGAAAAAAAATAAACATACATGATTAGAACAAGCTGAACTGAAAGCTCAGAAAAAAAGATTCACCAGAATCCCAACACAAAGACACCTGAATGTTACACACGTCCATACCACATTTTTTTGTTGTTATGTTAGTTATTTAAACTTGGAAACTCTTCAAAAGGATACTTTACAAATTTTTCATATTTTA